TAAAATAAAAAACTATGCGCATAAACTGTCACACTAGTCGGTAATGACATAATAGTAAATATATGCACGTATGACATGTGATCATGCAACAATATGGCACCTTCCTATCCTATATGACATGTTATCGCAAATATCTTGTTAATCGCACATATAATTCATACCATTCAATAAAAGCATTAAATAATAAATCTTAATTACTTTAATCCATGACTTTCCTATTTTAAAGAAAAATAAATAAATAAAAATAATAAAATATTACAACTTTGGAATTCAACTATCGCCTAGCCCACAGTATCTGTCTCAAGCCCCTTTAGGGTTTCCATGGGCCCAAAAGCCCAAAGACCCAATCCTTTGGCGAGAAACCCTAGGACGCGAAAGAGGAACCCAAGCCGTCAGGTCTGCCGCGCCCTCACCCAAAGTAAACTCAGACCGAAACTCCAGGGGAACGACCGACACATAGAGACGAGTGCACTGCCACCGGAACCTCCCAAAAAGGTGGCCGGACGCTCCCGCACTCTCCCATTCTTTGCCGGAGAGTGGCGGCCACTCTCAGAAGATTGTGGTGGCGCGTGGAGGAGCATGAAAGATCCGATGGCGGAGATCCACCCACCTTTGCATTCGTCTTTCTGTCCTCTTTTCAACCATATATAGATCGGCCCATTCTGAGATCGAAAAGTCCTCGAAAAGTCTCCGACAGTGCTGACTGCGCATCTTCCTCGCGGTTTCTCGATCTTGAACTTTTACAAAAATTTAGAAAAATACACAGAAATTCCGAAAATAAATAAAAAATAGCGAGGAGGAAACCTAATCGTATGAGATTAGCCTCCTTGTTACAAATCGAGAAATACACGAGACCCTAACCATGGATTAAAGTATTTTTACCGATTAAAATTTAAACTTTTATGAAAAAGAACTATAATGAATCAACATGAATATAAATAACAAATACAGAATAGAGGTGCCATATTTTCAAAAATCACGTAGAAAAAATAAATCAAAACTGATCTTAATACCCATCACAATCCGGCTCTGATACCATATGATGGTATATCATCAGAAACGCAGAAGCACATCGTACTGATGCGATGAGGAATGAAGAACACCGCTTTGATTACCTGGGATGAAGCAACGAGCGTGACAATTTCTCACGTTCAGTTCTCCTCCTCAAGCATCACGATCTGCAGAACGCACCACGAACGGTCGCAAATTCTGCTCTACGGTTGATAATTCCGCTCTACGGTTGATCTTCCAGACTATGACTCAAGGGGATCAGGTGGCGTGTGGGCCACCGTTCAGATGATGAACGTCTGCCTCTTAGGTGTGTTTCTGATGTCTGTAACCCTTGGAGGCACTTGAGAGAAAAGAGAGTTTATATACTCTGCCCAATCCAAAACTAACCCTAAGCTTCATGGGTTATAATTGGACTTTAGACTCACTCTCACTAAAGTTATTGGGCTTAAGTGAAAAGAGCATACTAAACCCAACAGTTTTACCGTTTCTAATTGCTTTGCCTCTCCTTCTTGTTCTTTCCTCCAATGACAATCAACTCCTAAAAGTTAGTATAGATGTACCTACAGAAGAAAAAAAACCATTATAAAAGCATTATTTTTTTTTCCCACGACTCAACCCATCTGAAAATGTTTCGTTAAATATGCTTCATTTACTAATTAAAAATTACGATGGGCCTTGCATTGCATGCATCTTCTAACGTATGAACTTCCACAAACATGCATGTCAGAAGTACATGTATTTATGTTATGTCACACATAGAATGCCTTTCCCCATTCCAATGTAGAAAATAGTGGGATATTAAATGAATTGTCTGCCACAAAAAATTATTCACATAATTTTTCATTTAATTTATTTCCAAATTTCGAATTTATTTTACAATATAAATAATTTTGTTATTTTACAATTTTTTTTAAAGTTTTTATTTTTTTATGCAGCATTAATAGGACTAACAATTACCCATGTAAAAAATAGTGGGATATAAAATAAAAGAAAAGTAGAGGTATTTTTTACTCATAATATACAACAAAAGAAAAGTAGTGGGACATTAAATGAGCTGTCTGCCACCAAAAAAATTTAAAAAGTTTTTCCACCATTACAAAGTTAAAAATTCAAATTCAAAATTCAAATTTAAACATAAATTTGAAATTTAAAAGAGTTGAGTTATTATTAATTTGAAAATTTCAATATAGAAAGGAGTGGTGCATTGAATGAGTTGTCTGTCACCGCAAATTGTTCACTTAATTTCCATTTATTTTATTTCGATTTGTAGATTACATTTTATATTTTTTAATTTCAACTATTGACTAAAGAAGGAAAGTTTTCAAATGACATATTTTCCAATAAATATTGTAAATATACTTAACTATTTACATATTTTCCAATAAATATTGTAAATATTGTAATCATTTGGTAACTTGGCGCTGAGTTAGTGGGATTGGATATGTGTTCGATTCTCGCTGAATGCATTCTTGGAGAGGGGGCTGAACCTTTAGCCATCACTGTTCTCCCGCACTCCGAATTAGTCCCATAGCCGGCTCAAAGAGTCGAAGCTCGTGGGGATACCGGAGGGAGCCAACTCGTCTCAAAGAGATAATTAGGGTTGGGTAACTCCAAAAAAAAGAAAGTAATGAGTTATTAATACAATTGTCTACCACTAAAAAATGTTGAACTATTTTTCCACCTATATCAATTTAAAATTCGAATTTCAAAATAGTAGTAGGATATAAATAAAAATATTTTCTACTAATAAATGCTTTTTTTTTTGGAGTTACCCAACCCTAATTACCTCTTTGAAATGCTGAACTCTTTTCCCACATATATCAAGTTTGAATGTCAAAATTTAAAAAATAATGAGATTTTAAACATAAAAAAATGATATTAATCATAAAAAAATGATTAAATAATTTTAAATATGTTTATGTTAAATATGTTTTTAAAAATTACTTGTACGAAAACATTTTAATCAAAGAATGCCACCTTTTAATTATATTGGACGATTTCCTAAACTATTATTCCTCAAATTACGCAACGTTATTAAATCTGAGATGTAATTAATTCCAACGCTGAGTAAACAGTAGCTTCGATGCAGCGTTTTGATGACAGATGGTCCCCAGCACACAGTCGTTCCAAATTCAAATTTAAATTCCCAAAATTACATGTAGAAAGAAACGGAAAGAAATAACGTGTTAAGATTTGTTGACATATAAATTTGCTTAGAAGTAGGATTTTATAATCGATATTTCCAAAACAATATGCTATCAGTTGTTAGGATGTGTTTTTTGAAATATTCAATGGGCCAGATCATAATTTTCCTTTAGTGAATCATTGTTTGAGTAAAATTAAACTTTTAAAATACGAACCAAAGTATAATCAATGATTAGATTAATAAAAAAGAATTGTTTTTTCTCTGAACCATTCTAATTTTTTTGCCAACAAAACAATTGTTTCTCCGAGACCCAACACACTCATAATGAAAATTTTAATCTAATAAAAAAGAAAACTTTGTGTACGAGTGTGTGGAACCTTTGTATTTTTGCTGATAATTGGATCGGTTGAGCAAAAATACAAGCAAGGCAAAAAAAAATGTATCTTTTTTGGGAAAATAGTACCGAGAAAGTAAGTAAAAAATATTTGATCTACTTTTTTGGACTATTCTTTCTACTTAAACGCGGAACCAATCTACTTAAATGGGGAACCGATTCCACATTACTTTTATTATAATATAGTGATGTTAAAGGTATATAATATAAAAATTATTGAAGATTGAATTTATAGAATACTCTACTTATATAGGAAGAGCGTGTTGGGTATGGCTCATACTTCACATGATGATGTTGGCCCTAATTGTCGGGGTCAGCAGAAAGGCAACTGGGGTCTTGCTCCCAGGTGAGCGGGCGGGGGTCTGGGGGGCAGCGCCCCCTGGCCCGTAGAGGCTAGGTAATGTTTAGGCCTCTGTTTCTATTGTAATTTTCTTAGCAGTTTGGGCTTGGGCCCATGAATAGCTGCTGTTAGGGTTTCTTGTAATCCTATTTATATTTGCCTTGTAAACCGAGAGACTTGTAACGAGTGGCGGTGAGGTGAATATAGTACAGACAAGCTGGACGTAGCCTATATTGGGTGAACCAGGGTAAATCATCGTGTCAATCTCTCTACTCTTATCTTTTTTTCTGTTTTCTCGATTCTGTGTGATTGTCGATTTCCAACAGAGCGGAAACTTTTTTGAATATATCTCACGAATCCACTTTGGTACATCTTTTTACCAAATGGATTTTTTTTATTTCTATCCTTGTTTTTTTTTTATTTCCCTTCATGTCCCATAATTTTACCTCTTTTGGCATGAATGTACATATATCTACTGCACAAAAGATTTTCTTAGGAAGAGCACCCTCGTATAGTCGTACTTATAATTATAAGGGATCTTATATTTTGATTTTAACGAAGGGAAGGGAACACCCCTTTGCATACCATAGCTTGTAACAATATTTCCTCTCTCTTCTTTAATGAGCTAAAAAAAACATGAAATAGTGTTACTCTTTTATTATCCACCCTAATAGAAAATTAAACATGGCACACTAAACATGGTTGATTTTGATTAAATCAAATTTACGAGTCTACCTGTAACACCCCGTAGTACTCCGGTTGTTAACATCCATAATATTTAGCATACACAGCGGAAGACTTTATTTTAAAGAATAATAAAGCGTTTTATAAAATACGAGTAAACTTTTTCCAAAATATTTTCTAAAACATTTTCAAGCGTTCATCTGATATATTGCTTGCATTAGCGTATCATTAACGTCTAAGTCTACTAATTAAAACCATTGGCCATATCAATTGACCGTTGACCATCCGGATATGACCTTAAGTATCATTCCTGACAGAGTCTCGCGGACAACATAACGGCTATAATTCGGATAACTATCTGATAGATACAATAATTAAACAGACAGCTCGCAAATCCAAATAACTGAATACATACATAAAGGCTATATAAATTTCAAAACGTTAAAGCATCAGTAAATAATCCACGACTCCAATACTACAGTCATGAGCCAAAGTAAATACATAACATAATCTCAATATAAGATAATTGGACATGTTAATGATTATACATGTCACCACACAGTCTAGTCATAATATAAATAATTAGCAGCATCATCAACTACTCCAAGGCGGGGGCTTTGCCTCTAGAAGCATCACCGCTACTCTGAGTACCTGAAATGATGTCCCCAAACGGGGTGAGATAACCACATCTCAGTAAACTCAAGGTTCTTAGAGAATCCTCTAATCCCCTGAGCCCACTTCCTGCATGACAAGTCAGATATAAAGCATATATAACAAACATACAGCATAAACATAGCATCATCATATCGTCCTTGTGTAACCCCAGGGTCAAAGCCATAGACGGTTACACATGTGTGACTCCAGGGTCAAGCCATAGACAGTCAACATAACCTATGTATGAAATAGCTCCCAAAGTCAAGTCATAGGCAGCCTACATACCTTAATCACTGGCCAGGATCCTCATAACATATATCATCAGTGCATCATCATAACATCAAGATCATATAACATCTATATGAATGTGAATGAATGCACATATATAGTATACCACATACTTTCATACAATATAACCATAATGCCCACCATCATGGTGGAGCCACAAGAGAGAGGAGCAACCAGAACCGGGAGCTTACCTCACTGAGCATATCAAGCCCAACTCCAATATTATATTTATGCTCCAATACAATTCTCAAGTGCAAGGTTCTCTAGGCACACCTAGAGTAGGAATCATTCACATCATTAATTACATAGTAATTAATCAAGTCATATACAAGACTTAACCATTTAATGATTCCACTTTCCATACTTATATGCCAATAATATGCATTTTACAAGTCTCGACCAATTATTACATAATTACGTATTTTTGTGCATTATTACCTTCAACTTCAATCTTCAATCACTTACATAACTTAGAATCACATTTTAGGCTTACTTAGTTAACTTAGATTATTTTCACTCATCCAAGCCATATATATGAAAGAAACTGACCTTGAAGGTCGAGGCACGTGAGAGGGAAAAACAAAATTTTTCGAGCGGAATAACACATACCATATCAAGAAATATGCTTTAGGGCATGGATGTTACCTTGTTTGCTTTCCAAAACTGGAGGATGATCAAGATGAGGCTTGAAGATGCAAGCCCTCTAATGTTGATCCACACCACCCTTTGTCAAGACGGAAGAACTCTTCTTCAAGGCCACCAACGAAAACACCAATGGAGGCAAGCTATGCGCCCAATGTGTGAAGGAGGAGGCTAGGTCAAGGTGTTTAGAAGAGTGAATATTCAGCAAGAATAGACACAAAAGTGGCGCATGGTTTTCTTTGAAAAAGGCTAGGTTATTTCGAAACTCTCTTAAGAAAAACCTAAAAAGGAACCCACAAGGAAATGAGAGAATGAGTTAATTAAAAATCTAATTTTCTTCACTCAAATAAGGCCCTATATATGGCGCACACTAGGGGAATGAGTGGAGTTGTTGCAAAATTCAAATCTTGTCAACAACCTCCTCTCACATCCTCATGATATCAAGTGAATATCTCAACAAGAATCTGACTCAACAACCATCATATGGCCAGCCATATGGTGCGCCCCACTTGGCCTCATAACAGTCCAGATACATTGAACAGTTGCATTCAAACTTGAACCAACTGTCTCACTTATTCTCTCAACAAACCAAATCTGACTGGAGCTCATTTGGTTGATCCTATGACCATCATCAGATACCTTAATCAGCGCCCCATATCCTCACTAGAAGATTCTCAAAGATCTCCTCTTGATATTTGGGATTTGTTCCAACAAGATCTTATCTTATCCTTTTGTTATGAAACAACTTTTCATAGCCAATTCAAATTCGAATTCAAACATTTGAATTCAAACGTTCAAATATTTAAATTTTAAATTCAAATTCAAATTCCAAATTCAAATTCAAATTTCAAAATTCAAAATTCAAAATTTCAAATTTCAAATTTCAAATTTCAAATTTCAAATTCAAAATTCAAAATTCGAATTTCAAAATTCAAATTCAAATTTCAAATCAAATTTCAAATTTCAAATTCAAAATTCAAAATTTAAACATTTGATAATTAATTTAACTAATTAAATTAATTAGTAATGTCTTGGACCATCCAAGCCCATTAACTAACCATGCGCCCTTTTTTCCTTTTGGTGGGCTTCCAAACTTCTTCTTGGGCTAACAACCATTATTAGGACCAATACCTTTAATGCTATATTGTCATGACAATAAGGTGTTAGTGTGTGACCCATTAGGCCCAACATAGCCACTGACATAAATGGGCTTGGGCCCAATAAGCCCACAACCCATCTAATGACAACACAGAGCACTAGCAATGCTTTGTTGCCCCAGAGCTAGTTAGGTTAATGACATAATCATCCTATTACACATATTTGGTTGCCGTATGTATTTCCTTTCGTCTCGGTTACCTTCCCATAAAACCTAGGGTAAGGAAACGTATCAACCCTTGCGGTTTAGGGTAAGCTTTATTCGAAATAGGGAATCTTCAATTTACTGACTCTAAAGGCAGATCATCTCATGATCTCTTTTACTATGCATAGATTCCCGAGTCCATGTAAATGTCATCCCGATTTCTCCAGTTTACAGATAACCTAATCTCTCATAGAGATCTGACGAATTCCTTCAGCTTATCACCCTAGCCCTGTGCTCTTTCAGGACAAGCCCAACAGTATACCTATGAGTCTCCATGTTTCAGGCAGACGAGGTATACAGTCAAAGCATGCCTTCTAGAACACAATCTAGGTAATAACTTCTGGTCTAAGGAAAGACATACCCAAATATAAAGAGACTACTCTAATGATACTCTCTGTGAGATTTCCTCATAGAGTCTCTTTTGTGGGTATGTTCAGTGCGAGCTATACCGTTATAGATCCACCCACGACTTTAGCTAAGACATCTCCATATCTGTAGCTCATGAGGTCTTTACCTTGCATCCGAATACAAGTAGATAAGTCGTGCTAGTCTTACCCGAGATCACTGATCCCCATTCTCAGTGTCTCTAGACTAGGAACATAAAATTAGGAATAAACATCCAATATCCTTGAATCCTCATGATCGTGATCTTATCACAGATACTCAAGAGATACCTATTCTATTCCAAGGGGTTTATCCAGTTAACAGTAATATCGAGACAAAATATGAAACAGGATAAATAGTGCTTTTATTTATTTGCGACAATACAAAGGTCTACATCTATCTCCTTATTTAATCATAAGATTGTCTCTAGGACACCCAAATACTAACAATATATACTTATTATAAGTTACTAAGGGGTTCCTATAAGCCCACTTAGCCTAAATCTCACTTTTACGATTTTCTCATATCTATGCATGCTTCTGTTTTCCAGTCACTGTGCAGAACTCATTGGTTATAAAATTCTCATCTTTTAGTATGTTATTCTAGACTCAATTACCTTTCTAACAAGGTATCACACACCATAATCAGAGCTATATAGATCATGTTATGATTTTTGAAAGTTCAACTAACAAATCTGTTTTTAGGCAGTGCAGGGAATCCCAACATCCCTCACTGTTTTCGTCCCTATGAGAGTTTCAGAAATATTATCTCTCTCAAATTTTAATATGTTGTATTAGACACTTGTAGCTTTAATTCGAGGTATCATAAGCTTAATTTGAGTAAGTAATGAGAGAGATATGAATTTTACAAGTTGGACCTTTAGAATTGTCCCTGCACTATGCGAGTTTGGGCAGTCTGGACTCAAATTTACTTTCTGGACAAGTAACAACACATAATACTTTCAAAGTTTAGGAAAAAATAAATGACATCTCTATCTTTAACATGAGGTATCATGAGCTTCATTTGACCAAGGGATGAGGGAGATATCACCCTCCCAAGTTAGGGTATAAACTAAGATTTTTAAGCTTATTTCATTGTCTTTTCTGTAACTAATTAGTCCCAATACTTAATTAATCTACTAATCCATGATTACTTTTTTTTAACACAAGTACTCCACCTTATACTCAAGAGATCAGAATCATCATGTGTCTTTTTTAGGATTCAAGTTCATCTTTTTCATGAAATCCATACAAGGATCCAAAGATTGTACCTTTAAACATCAATTAACTATTTCTTGGTTCAAAACTCACACCTTTAGCTCCAATCTTCACTTTGTACCAACAAGGATGATCCTTTAAACAACAACACACCTTCAAAAATATGCTCAAGAATTAGAGCTCAAGAACACAAGAGAGAAAGATAAGATTTTTCAAAAAAAAGTTTAGGAAACTTACACAAAACTCAAGAGAATCAAGCACACAAGTGATGCTCTTCAAGAGAACTAAAAAACACAACTCCATAACTCCTTGAACCTTCAAAGCCATGGCTGTTCACGAGGATATTGACCACAAAATTTTCTTCACACCATGAGAATGCTATGGTTGTGAAGAGGTGAGTGAGGAGAACAAGTTTGGTGAAGGAAAATTGTTGATTTGGAGAGGTTTTGGAGGAGAGATTCTAGAGAGAAGTTAGAGAAAAGTTTGAAACTCCAATTTTAGAAAGAAGACTACACTTACTAGCTTTTCTTAGTACCCTAAGGCTGACATGGATTTTAGAGGAAATATAATGAAAATGCTTGATATGAATGTGAAGAAGTCATCGACCAAATAGCCAAGGAATTGGCTAATGAATTGTCTAGTTTGCTTCCACCCCATTTGTTAACTTTCTTTAGCTATTAAATCATTTTATTTCAATTGATTACCTTCCACTAAAACTTGATGCATCAGCCAAACAAGAAAAGCAAGAGGGAACAAGTCCACTCACGTAAAGGAAAAGAAGACAAAGCTTTGATAATTAATGGAGGGACCAACTTTGATAAATAATGAAAGACACTAAGTCCCACTCCACATGGCTCTACATGGGCTGATCATGCATCAAAAGTAAGGCAAATCAGATTTTTACTTAATTCATCACCAATAAAACTAGTAACCTTAGAAACTAGTTAATTACTAGACTAGCAATTTTGAGATGTAACACAATATCAATTCATCCTCATCCTACCAGAACTTTCCTAATATACTTATACTTAAGCATCATAATATACGTGTCACAAGCTTTCCAAAGATATATTATAAGCCTTATTCTGACAAGTACAACCCAAGTTACGTCCGCCGTAAGTAGTAAGCTGTAAATCCAACATCACTTGAACAAGGTCGCAGACTATTAAATTTTTCTGGAATGATATACTGCCCATTTTATACTTTAATATTTATGAAAAATACTAGATATCTTTATCTTTAATTTGGCACAAGAATCGTCTCGTTTCGTTAAGTAACGAAGGAGATATGAATTTCGCAAACTCACTGTTGTTTGCTGTAAAAACTATGACGGGAATGAACAATACTCACTGATTTTTTTTTAAAACTTTAACGTGAGCTCCTAAAATTCTCATATTTTAGGACAAGAAATTAGACATCCTACGGTTCAATTTGGTACCTCACACACTCAATTTGATTAAGAAATGAGTAAGATATGATTTATTTAAAACTGAACTCACTACTAAGTAAAATTATGACAACATCGTCAATTTTACTTCCATACGTTTTTACACTAAATTGTCCAAGTAATTTGAACTTTGTTCTCTTATCTACATATAACTTCACTTTAATATTTTTGGTCTAATTATGACTTGTTAGGCATATATTGGATTTTCATTCCATTTTCTCATCTTTTTTTCGTTTTGGGATTTTACCGGCTGTTTCTACCGCCCGGTAAAAGTGACTTTTCAGAAATACCCCAATATGGGTATCAATCTTCACCATTTCATATTCTAACCTCTTTCATGATATTTATATCATTAAATTAGCTCTCTATTTCAGATTTGCTAGATTGGGACAATTTCACAGACTTTTACTGTGTCAACAGTTAAAAATAACAGTTGAAAACTCAACTGTTTAGAATACCCTTAATATGGGTATCAAAATTCTTAGAATTTCATTCTCATTCTGTTTATGACCATAAGATCCTCATCATAACCCTCTAATGTAAAAGTCATAAAATTAGGGTTATTATACTACAACGGTTGCTTCAATTTTTATCAGATGATCAGTGGCGGACTCAAAAATTTTTATTTGTGTCTACACATTTAGTGGCTGCCTCTCGGAAAAAAATTAAAGAAAAATTTAAAGGCATAAAAAACAAAAGAATAAAAACAAGAAAATGAGTCAACTTCTCCGTTTGACAAGCTTTGGCTTTAAGTCAGCACCAATGATGTCTGGATATTGAGCAATTATAGAGGGAAGTGATGTTCGCCTAATATTAAACTCTTCAACGGATTTGACATTTGGTTTCACCTTCTCCTCCAGCCCAAATCCAAGAATATAAGGTCATTTCTCTATCAATAGTGGCTAATCTTCGAATTCAGCCAGACATCTAGGACAGACATTAGAGGTAGCCAAATGTCTTTGCATTCTTCTCAGGTTAGTTAAAATATTCTCCCCCAAGAGCATCCAAAGGAAGGTCTTCACTCTAGGGGGACCCCCCATTCCCACACAGTGTTCCAGTGTAACTGACTTCCCTCCTCATCATTATTGTACAACATGTTAAATGCTGATCTTGTTGAGAACCCACCATCTTGGGATAAGTCCCAGATAATTATGTCTTCTTCATCAATAAGACTGGGGGGACAAAAACCAGCAATGGCGCTCAGTGTTTCCTGTGAGACTAGATGCCCAAACAACTGCCAATTCCAATCACCATTAGGATCCACCATCTCAGCTACTTCCTTTTTTACCTTTTTTCTTCATTATAAAAAAAAAGATTTTTTCATTATAAGAGCTTTTCTCAAAATCTGTTTGGCCAAGCTTATGCTTATAAGTAGTTTCTAGCTTAAAAAAAATGATCCAAACAGGCACTTAGCGTGCCTCTTTCTCTTTGTGCTACTCAAACAAGTAGTAGGAAGAATAACGAGAGAAAATCATAGTATTGAGAAATGTAATGGATTCTACATTTTTTAGCATCTTTGAATAGAAGTTTCATGCATCTCATAATATCGACTGAGTTATATAATATCCTTGTGATCAATCTTTTTGACCATGAATGAATCAACATCAACATCAACATCAACAACACCTTTATCCCAAATTAATTGGGGTCGGTGGTAGATGAACCCACATGAAAGATACAAAACGGATGATAAATTAATTAAGGGAAAACTACTCTTATGCTACATGTGATAACTTTCTCTCCTACACATCCTTCGATAACTGTGCCACCTTTTTCTTTTCTTTTCTTTTTATTTTTCAGGTAGTGGAGCCCACAAATTTATCTCTATGACATGAGATAACTTATCTCTTTTAACATGAGATTAATAAAACCCATTAATTAATAATATCATCTACGTACATAAAATGTCTGTAAGATCTAGTTTTTGGGCGCTATCACACGCTAAATAAGTGCAAAATACTTGTAGTGCATGCTAAACAAAGGCAAAATCAGTTGTTGTGTGCACTAAAGCGTGCTAAAACCCGCTACACGCTCCTAGACTCTAAAACGTGTTGTGCCAGCTTCTTTAATTTCTCTTTTACCCCTTTAGGCTTATGTGAGCCACTTGTTATAGGATTTTAGACTACTGTAGGACCTTTTTAACCAAGATAATCTTTATAACTAAGGAGATAGACGTTAATGAGCATAAGATGAATTTGTTAAGTAAAAAGAAAAAGTTTATTTACATTTTTGCCATAACAACCTTTTATTTCACAATCTTACACATCATGAGATTATCTTAATGCTAAGTGAGTAATTAAGGATTAATTCTAGCTGTGTTTAATACAATAACTCAGTTAAATACACCAGGTGCACACATGATATTACTTTACCCAATACTTGAAAACTTGGTGGTTGTAAGTAAGGTTTCCAAGCACCCATGAAGCTTAGCGAGTAATGAAAATTGTTGAGCAGCTAGCAATATGGAAATAGGTCATAATGGTAATGACCAAATCAGGATAAATTGAGTTTGCACTTCTCTTAACCCTTACTATTTAAATTATATAACTTTAACTCTTTATTGGATATCTTATATGTGCTAGCATCGACGGTATATTTGTGATAATTTGTAAGAAATATATTATCTTTATTTACCATGGATCCCTTCATGTATTAAAGCTTGTATGAAAATGTTAATTTAGAAAGAAGAAGTTGGCTTTTACAAAAAGATTATAATACTGAATACATCCCCTCTTAAGTATAAAAGTCACATTCTTAAAAGCTATATCATGTGAAAAATAAAATAAAAACATCCCTAATGTGGATGCAAGTCATGTATTTATATAAAACAAAATAGATCAAAAGTGCCATGTAATACTAGGTAGTGCAAAGTACTTAAATATTCTCAAATACACCAAACATGAACTTAATTCACTACTCTTAACGAACTAATAACATGGGTAAAGCGAGAATAATAATTATGTTCAAACATAACCCAAACATTTTACCTGTGGATGAAATTTTTGCTAAATATAATCAAAATGTGCTTTGCCTGGTTCACGATTATATGACCTAAACTATAAGGGACAAACTGAATTAAACTTAAAAGAATCAATAAATGTGGAGAGCTAGGATCAAATATAGAGATGGTCTATTTGTTTGCAGAGCTCTGAAAGATTATTTTCAATGGCATTAGGGTTCTTCATGAATAAAATTGTGAAGGTAAGGATGGGACTGCTGTTAATTTGATGGCCCAATAGCAAAGGCACACTAAAAACATTAATGTGTTAGAAATATTAAAATAAAATTATTAATATGATTATCCTTATCGGTTTAATTTTTTGAATTAAATAATCCAGGATGGTTAAAGTCTATTGTTTATTATTAAAAAATGTTAGTCAGTTATTATACTGTAAAAAATAACCAATAAATTGATTATCAAAACAAAAATAACCAATAATTACAATCGGTATAAACTTTATGTTTTGCTTTCTTACAAGTGTCTATAAGTATCTGTATGGATCCCCTCTTCTTTAAGCTAAAAATTAAGTTAAACAGATTTTAAAAAAAAAACTCTTATAATGAAATTTTTTTTTAAATGAAGAAAAAAGTTAAAAGTCAAAAGTTTTTAAAAAGAGTTTTTTTTAAACTTTTATCAACTTTTCTTGAATTGTGTATTTTTTTTTAGATATGTGCATTTAAATAACTTTTAAGCTAACATTTTATATAATTAATAAATAGCTTTTAGTTTTTTTTTTACTTTAACTTATAAGTAATTTTTAGCTTAAAAAAAATCTAAACAGGCTCTAATACTATTTTTAATGATATTAATGCATTAAATAACTCTACGACATTTATACTACCTATAATAAAACCAATAATTAAATTGTTTGAACATATGTAGAATTTCTCATATGATAAGATAATTTCGTAACTCCCAAAAAAATCAACTTTTAAATTAACATGGCATTACGGCATTTGTAGTGTAATTCTTTATTATGCGCGGCTCTGCGAGCGACTCGTTTCCGATAAGGCAACCTTTCAAAAAATCTACCCAATCCGAGAAGTCCACGTGGAAATATCGGATGACTATCTCAGCAAATTACGACGTACCATATGATACCATATCCCTCTTCCTCTGAGGCTGAAACTGCTAACCCCCGGAGAGAGAAAGAGTGAGAGATCGTAATGCGAGGGACGTCGTCGTTTTAAGACTCGAGTTAATGAAAGTACAGGCTTGGTGGTTGGGAGTAGTTGCTTAAATGCCTTGGTGAGGAGCAAGGAGTGATTAAAAGCAGTGCCGTAAACCCAAAAACGACAAAAAAAAAATCCCAACGATAATGGAGTGCGTTGCAACGAGAAACTTGGCGGCAATGGCGTTTTGCATAAGCCCTTCTTCGAGGTTGCGGTTACGAAGGAAGAAGCTGCTTTCGTTGTTCGGTTGGCATAACCGTCACTCGCATTCGCACTGTGTGAAGGTTGAAGCCAAAGCCGGCGCAGGGAGCGAGAGTTGCGTGGCCACCAAGGAGAACTTCGCCGACGAGGAAGATTACGTTAAGGCCGGTGGCTCCGAACTCGTTTTCGTCCAAATGCAGCGGAAGAAATCCATGGAAATGCAATCCAAGCTTTCGGATAAGGTTTTTGCTTCTCACCTCTGTTTCCTTGTTTATTTTGTTTCTTGAGCTTCACAGGATAAGGTTTTAGGCTTTGTTTTTTGTGTGTGTTGGTTTTAGGTTATTATATCTGCTCTCTGTTGTTTGAATTTTCATCTTGAGATGCTGCAGATAAAGAAGTGTTTGAATTTAAGACATGTTGATATTTAATATTTTAATTGTATGGATGAAGTTTGAGGTTTCTTATGGCATCTTCTTCTTTATTTCCAAGCATGATCTATCTTGCTGGTAATTATCGGTAGTTTTGAAGGCATTATTTGTTAATTTTCATGCACTGATGCATCGGTTTTGAGGTTTATGGAGATACCTAACAAAATTGTTTTTAGAACTTATGTTTTCATTATGAGAACCTGTGCTTAACCGCTTTTTGCAGTTGCCACCTATCTCCATAGGAGATGATATACTGGATCTAGTTGTGATTGGTTGTGGTCCGGCTGGTCTTGCTCTGGCTGCTGAATCTGGCAAGTTAGGATTAAAAGTCGGGCTTATTGGTCCGGATCTCCCTTTTACAAACAATTATGGTGTGTGGGAGGACGAATTTAAAGGTATCTTTCTTGCTGCATCATTCTAGTTGCATTATCTTTATATCAGGGATGCTATTCGTTTAGATCTTATGAGTGTTGGATTCTTTGATAACAAGGTTATAAATCAACTGAGACAATACTTAAAAGAGGAAGGATTATATTATATGAATTGTCTATTACAACTGTACAAGAGCTATTTAAAGAGACTAAATGACTTAATGGGCTAATTCAAAAGAAGATTCTAGAAGAAATAATAAATAATAATAATTACAATTATTTACAACACTCCCCCTCAAGTGAGGAATAAATATTTATCATTTCCCACTTGCTAGTAGCTCTTGAAACCTTTTTTAGGGAAGTCCCTTCGTCAGAATATCAGTTAATTAACGCCCAGAAGAAATGTATGGAGTGGTGATCAAACCGCTATCAAGCTTCTCTTTGATGAAATGACGGTCGACCTCGATAGTATTCATTTCAGTTTTTCCCTTCTTTTTAGGAAACACAGAAATGGTGATCTTGGAAAATTTTCTCAGTTTCAGCAAACTTATGTTATATATGCGTAACAAATTCCATGTAAAGGAATTTATTTATGCTTCTTTATTCGGATGACCAGTGAACTCCATGACATTTTGATAGTTTTCAGTTTGGACATTTACACCCTAAAAAACAAGATATATTTTCCTTTTGACTAGAGCATAAACTTTGCTTGCTTAGTTGATATTACACATTAATGAACACTCTTCATTATAATTTTAGGTCTTGGACTTGAAGGTTGTATTGAACATGTTTGGAAGGATACTATTGTGTATCTTGATAATAAGGATCCCATTTTAATTGGACGTTCTTATGGGCGTGTCAGTCGGCATCTGCTTCATGAGGAATTGTTAAGAAGGTAAAACTGTTGGCGATATATTTAGTAACAATATTATTTGCTAATAATCATAATTTAAATTCCTAGTAAAAAATATTTTATATATTTACTTTTGTAGATTTATGATTCATATTAATTTTCCCTAGGTGTGTCGAGTCAGGTGTGTCATATCTTAACTCAAGAGTAGAAAGGATTGTTGAGGCTAGCAATGGTCATAGTCATGTTGTCTGTGAATATGATATTGTAGTGCCCAGCAGGTATGATATAATTGCGTGCTTTTAAAAATTTTATCCACTTATCTATTATATGTTGAAACTTCTGACATGTTATTATAGGCTTGTTACTGTTGCATCAGGAGCAGCTTCAGGGAAACTGTTGCAGTATGAGGTAGGGGGTCCAAAGGTGTCTGTCCAAACAGCTTATGGTGTGGAAGTTGAGGTAGGAGCCTAGCTCTATAGCTGTCACCTTATGGCTCTTGGCTCCCATTAAAAATATCTTACATTCAACTTTAAGTGTATAGTGTCTCTTCTCTTATTTCCTAAAGCTCCAGATTTCTCATGTCCTGCGTCTGTTTAGATGTGTTACCCAGGAAAATCCCTTGTTTTGTTTGGTTAATATGATTGAGCTGTTGTACTGTATAATGGAAGCAGTCTGGTGACAAGCTACTGTTTTCATTATCTTTGACTGCTTGGTGTCAGTACAATTTTACGAATCATATAGTTTATAAAGTCTGTTTAAATCAGATCATTATTGGTGCTTTTTTTTTTGTGATGCATTTTTAATAACAATGCAGTATATAATATAAATCTGTTTAAAGCAAATCAATTATTTTTGCATATCTGCAAAGTGCAAAATGGCAATATCAGAAATAACACAATAATGTTTTTGTTGAACAAGTCAGAGGAATTGTTCCAAGTCTAGGTAGTCTGTAAATATTAGTCTATCTTCTTCTCTCTCTTTAACCGTATAACATTTATTTTTTAATTAAATTTTTTGAAATATAAAAAATTTAATAGCTATTAATAATGACATTTTTTGGTTACAATTTTAGGTGGAAAACAATCCTTATGATCCAAGCCTTATGGTTTTCATGGATTACAGAGACTACATGAAGCAAAATGTTCAATGTCTAGAAGCAAATTATCCAACATTTCTTTATGCGATGCCCATGTCTCGTACAAGAGTGTTCTTTGAGGTTTGCTCAATGTTTTTCATTGTGTATCACAGTTCTGTTTGCATTTATGTAAAAATGCCAATTGCAGGAAACCTGTTTAGTGTCAAAAGATGCCATGCCTTTTGATTTATTAAAGAAAAAGCTCTTTTCAAGATTAAATACGATGGGGATCAGAATTACAAAGACTTATGAAGAGGTAAAGGCAATGGAAATTCTATTCGATTGTTAATTACTTATTTGTGATATATATATATGTGTGTGTGTTTATATTTATATAGCATGAAAGAAGGGCACATCCTTCTGCTCATTTATATTGTTAAATGACCATTCAATCCAATTCTTAGATATCTTATTCTTACAAAACTTAACGGTTTTTGTGGCATCTATTGGTCATCAAGTTTATGCTCTTTTTTCATTCTTTTTCCACTCGAAAGCCTGTATCATAAAGGAGAACAGTTGTGGAGTTGAAATTCAGTGCGTCCCTTGATAACAGTGTCTATTATCCTCAATTTCCAGCTGTCCGTCAAGCTGTTACATTATAATTTCTGTAATAATAATATGATATGTACAAGTTCTTTTAGTGCGCCTAGGCATATCTTGCATCTGAATCTAAATTTTGAGTATCCAAATAAATACCCTTCATTTAAATATTTTATGTAGGAATGGTCTTATATTCCAGTCGGTGGATCCTTACCAAACACAGAGCAAAAGAACCTTGCATTTGGTGCAGCTGCCAGCATGGTGCATCCAGCCACAGGCATGGCATTGTCACATTTTTATTTGATGGATATGCTTAATTCAAGTTATTGCCCTTGAATATCGGTTTTTATTCAATAGGCTACTCTGTTGTGAGATCTTTGTCAGAAGCTCCAAAATATGCTTCAGCAATTGCTAGTATTTTGAAAGAAGGCCGTGAAACGGATATTATTACTCATGAAAGAAGTAAGGAGAATCTATCTATGCAAGGTAATAAAGTATACCTTAAGGTTAGAGCCTTAGGCATTGTTCTAGCTACTCACTTTAGGCCCAGTAAGTTGGGCCCTATATTATTAAGTTCACATCTAGAACCTTCTAAAGGGCATCTATGGCCGGCCATAGAGGCTCACCATTGGGATTTTCCTCTTCCTTCCCTGTTGCATTGATGCCCCTGTACAAAGACAGTGGGTTTAACATGCCTAGCCTGAAAAGGCTAGGCTAGCTAGGTGACAGCTCTCCACACCTTCTTTCACACGCTTCACAGAAGCACCCTCTCTCTAAATACCCCCTCACACATTGAAGGGGCATTTTCTTATCTATGGAACTCAAGAGCTGTTACTCTGCACAAATGTGGAGTCACCTTAGCCACCCTCACACACTTTCCCCTTGATATGCAGCACCATGGGAAACTCATGTTGAGCCTTGGTCTCTACCATTGCTACACATGGTGCCCCTAGATTGACATACTTCTCCTTCCATGGGACACATGTATGAACCTCCAAAGGATCAGGCATAAAATTAATTTCTCTAAAATTCCATAAATTATACTTATTTTGTTTCTTTGCTCAAACAGTTCTACTGACTGGCACAAAATTGTAAATAATTTTTAGATCTAGATTTTATGTATATTCCAAAATTTGAAAGCCGACGGTGTGAGACTTCATGTGGATGTGAGGTTTTCTTCTTGTATATGCATTTGAAGTTTTTTCTTTTCCTTTTTTATTCGTTCAGCTTGGAATACACTTTGGCCACAAGAAAGGAAACGGCAGAGAGCATTCTTTCTGTTTGGATTAGCGCTAATTCTGCAGCTGGACATTGAGGGCATTAGAACATTCTTTCGTACTTTCTTCTGCTTACCTAATTGGTAGGGTCTATTTCTCTTATTCATGTGATAGATGTCTAGGAGTTTTCTTTATAATGTTTTTCAAGCATAACGTGACTACGATCTCATGCATAATTTTTAAGGAGAAAATTATGTTCATGCATTGAGCTTGGCAAAGCCTTTTCCAGATTTTTAGGTTCAGCTATTGGTTATACAAATTAGGTTTCAGTCCTACATGATTGTCAAGTAGCATCTTGGCTTCAGTTGCTGAAAGCCAAAGAAATATCTCATATCATATAAGGCGAGTCTATGTTATTTGCAAAGAAGACCCTGCTTTTGTTGGCATTATACTCATGGTAGTAGCCTATCTGATACAGCATTGTTTAGACTTTACATGGCTGTCTAAATGAATTTTGACGTAAATGAAATAGTGGACCTGATCAAACACCTGAGCGGAGGCTGTAACTCAATTGTGTAATTTCAGTTCTCTTTATAAACGATCAATTCTTAACCTTGATAAGGAAGGAACCATAACCTTACAAGCTAGTAACATTTTTTTCTTACGTGTATAGTTCTTCGACATGTATGTCTATCCTATTATGGTTCTTCAACATTCTTCTCTTCTATTTCAATCTTTTTCAAGTAGATCCACAATTCTTTCAGTAACTGGCTTGAGGATGGAGGTTGATATCCCATAACAAATTTGTCCTCGTGCTGAATCCTTCTCTTCTTATCACCCATCTTACCAACTGATGCTAAGGATCAATAGTGACAGGCTAAATCATGTTTGAAAACCTAATGAGCTATCTGTAACTTATGGATTAATGCAAAATTTTACATCTACGCTGTTATGTAATGCTCTTGGAGGAATTTGTTGGATATGACTCGTACTTCTCATTCAGATGACGACCTTTGTTGATTGGGTCCCGCTCACCACCCCCGGGATCGCAAAGACTTGGTACTGTTGTGAGCCTCTGACTTATTGTATTTTCTTTTTCTTAGTAGTTTGGGTTTAGGCCCATGAATAACTGCTGTTACGGTTTCTAAATCCTATTTATATTTCCCTTGTAAACTGAGAGTGACTTTTAATACGAGTGTCGGTGAGGAGAATATAGTACGTCCAAGCTGGACTTAGCCTACATTGGGTGAATCAGGGTAAATCGTGTGTCCACTCTTCTTCCTTTTCTCTCTTTTTATTTTCGATTTATGTGTTGTGTGAAACAGTCGATTCCAACAGAATTGACATCTTGTTTCACCAACCAGAATTTGTCGCAAGGATTAAGCAAGGTTCATTTGACACAGACTAATAGCTACAAAGTTGAAACATAATTTTTGCTTCTTCATTTGTGACCGTTGTCCATTAAATGATACAAGAAAGAAAGCCGCATTTTAGATTCATTCAGTTAACCCTAATGAGATTAACCGGGTAACAACTTGTATTCGGATTATCCCATCTCTGTCCCTGGGGAAAATGCTTGTATTCAATTACTTTGCTTCAGGTTTTACTATGACCTAGAGACACCTGAAATTAAATCTGAAAATTTGTGATCCTTATGTGCTATGACGCCCTTTTCCTAAAAATATATGTAAATGTGGACCTGGTGGCATAAAGATTAATGTTTAATTTGCTTGTTGTTGGTATTAGGTAAACAAGTTTACTTTCTCGTGATAAAAACCTGACTACATTGCTTATTGTTTTATTCTATTTTTTCCCCCATTTTTTGTGATAGAAATTGCTTAAGTATGAAATGATGGCTAAATGTTTTTTCCTCACAGGATGTGGCAAGGATTTCTTGGCTCCTCTCTCTCTTCTAAGGATCTTGTATTATTTGCATTCTACATGTTCATAATAGCACCAAATAACTTGAGAATGGGTCTAGTCAGACATCTGATTTCAGATCCTACTGGGATAACTATGATAAGGGCCTACTTAACGATATAGTATGTTTCCATAACTTCTTCCCCATGTTAGGTACCCTGTATTGGGAGACAGTTTAGATTACATTAGGAGCCATAGAAGTGAGTAGTTTCTTGTATGTACATATATTTTACTAAAACCAGATGTGTTCATATGATTTTGATATCCCTTTTCTGCTATTAAATTGAAAGTGATAGATTCAAAGTTTGAACATTTTCCCGTATGTTAGTTTTTATTTGTTTTTTGTTTTTGTGTTTTTTTTTTTTTCGGGTTGATTCCAGCATAAAAGTATCATGATACTTTGTTAACTGAGATGTTTATTTTCAAGGATAAATTTGGTGAGTGCAGATAGAGGAGTCTACTAGTGCTACGTCATTACTTCTTCCATATGAAATGGAAATTCTTACACCATTCATCTCACTATTTTTCCTTAGTACTCGTTTGGTAACTATTTTCTAGCTTCTCCTCCCTTACAAGGAGAAGTTTCAGCAAATATATTTTTATAAAAGTTATTATTATTAGAAAGAATATTTTTTTTTTCCTGTATCTAAGAAGGGCTAAAGCCCAGAGAAGCAAACTAGAGAGTTAATATTGGGTTCCCCTACAGACATAAAATTCCAATTTGGATTTCCCCTAAAGACACCAATGGTAGTTCAATTGATAGCAAGAGATGTGAGTAAGTGAAAAAGAAAGAGTATCGATTCGATCTCCTTATGCAACATTTATGAGATATTTAAATATCTTCATCCCTGACTCGTACTGTATTCCGTATTCGTCCCATAGCTGGCTGAAAGAGTCGAAGCTTATAGGGATATTGAAAAGAGTTAACTCGCCTCAAAAAAGTAATTAGAGTTGAGTTAACTCCAAAAAAAGAAGTCTCTGGCATTGGGAGGACCCTAGTAGGTTATGTAACCATTATCTTCTAGCAGTACGTGTTGAGCCAACCAATTTGCATAATGGTTATCGGGACTGTTCAAATGGTGTTCCATTTTTTTGTCAGGAATTGTTTGATTCTTGTAACTATAAGATACTCCTTTTCAACAATATTTTCAGATATGATGAATGAGAGAGCACGTACAAAGTCACATTCTATAACCAACTTGATTTCAAGGCTCCAAGCAAGTTTCATACTGATGCAATTCAGCCCAAGACATATAAAAGAGACCAGTCCAGACAGGTGTGGATCCAGCCACAAGAAGGCCCAACATAGACTAAAGGGAGATTCCCAAAGTAACCCTTAACAAAATGGGACATGAGGTGGCATGGAGTTGGTTATATCTAGTGGGAGGAAAGGGAGAAGGGGAGGCATAAACTGTGACGTATCTGGGAGAGCGTAGGACCTCTACAATTGTCTCACAAATTATCTTTACAATTCTGTTAGCATTTTCTTTATGAACTGGTGTAATTTCATTTCGTTAGCATTGTATTAATTCTGAGATTGTTATAGAAGATATGAACGGTGAAATCAATGTAATATTCAGATCTCTTTTGCTTTATTATCTCTTGTTGAATACTGTGTGTTGTTAGACCTTAACAAACTGGTATCAGAGCTCCGATCTAAGAGCTCTGTGGAATGTAGTAACGCGATCAATGGAGAATCGAATGGATCTGATCGAAGAGGGAATGCGTAGAGGGTGCGTTAGACATGAAGAAATGTTGTTGAGATTGGAAGATAATGAAGCTCGACAAGCCGAAATTATTAATAGGCTGGGAGCAAACGAACGGGGAATGAACGAGGTACTGAGGAGGTTAGATGAAACGGAAGAGAGGCGTCAAACCCAGTCTCGTGACGGAGAAAATGAAGAAGAAGAGGTCGGTTCACAGGAAAGAAGGAACGGAAGGAGGACAAACTTCAATTTCCCAGCCAATAGACGTCTGGAGGTTCCCTTATTTTCAGGGGAAGATGCTTTTGGATGGTTGAGTAAGGTTGAACGGTACTTTGCCGTGAGTGGAATAACTGAGGCGGAGAAGGTTGCCACCGTAACGGTGGTCCTGGAAAGGGAGGCTCTCCACTGGTTCCATTGGTGGGAGGCGAGCCACCCTAACGTCACTTGGTGAGTTTTCCGGCAAGAAATTCTCAGCTGTTTCCAATCGGAAGCCGTCGATAATCCTTACCGTGCATTATATACTCTAAAACAGAACGGTAGTGTGATGGATTTTCGAGCTCAATTCGAGAAGATGGTGGGTGCATTTCGTTTTGAAGACGAAGACCTCCTTAAAGGAGCGTGGTTGAACGGAGTACGAAATAGCATTCGGGAGGAGTTGCTCATGTTGCTGGCACTCTGTTTGGCTGATATGATTAAGATGTCAATTAAGGTGGAGAGAAGGAACGCAGCGTGGAAGGAAGAAAGGCTGGGTCTGTTGGGAAAAAATTGGGCTACCGGACTTAGCCGTGCGCAGGTGGGCCAGCAAAGAGGATAAGGCCCAACTGATAATAAAACATGGGCCCAAACGAATTTAGGCCCAGGAAATGTGAATAGAGCTAATTCAACGTCTTCAGCTGTCGGTGGTAGTCAATCGAGTGTGGGTCAATCTAATCCTAGGGCTGGATATATGGAGAACGCGAATGAAGGAGGGGCAGGAAGAACTGCGACACAATCAACCGGAAACCGTGCCGGAGAAAACGATGGCGGTCAGATGCGACAGTTATCACAAGCGGAATGGCGAGATCATCAACAGAAAGGGCTGTGTTTCAAGTGTGATGAACGCTGGCACCCGAATCACAAATGCCAGGTTCGTCAACTTCATCTTTTGTTGGTGGATGACGACGACGTGGAGGATATCGAAGTGCATGAAAAAGAACGAAGGGAAACACCGGTGGTGGGGTTGGAGGAGACTGACAAGCCGCTACAACTATCTCTACAAAGCATGCTAGGGCTCTCTTCAAGCCAAACCCTAAAGGTATGGGGGAAAATCAAGGATCAAGATGTGGTAGTTATGGTTGACTGTGGGGCTTCAAGTAATTTTGTGAAAAAGGAAATGGTAGAGGAATTGGGGCTGGAAATCGCTGATACACCGTTATACCTGGTGGAAATTGGAAACGGGTACAAGGTTGGGTGCAAGGGAGTTTGTAGAGGAGTGGATATAAGCATTCAAGGAACTCAGATCAAGCAAGATCTATACCTATTTGAGCTAGGTAGTGCGGATGTTGTGCTGGGCTTGGAATGGCTGACTCAACTAGGGGAGATCAAAGCGAACTTCAAAGAGATGACGCTCAAGTACGGGGAAAGAGGGAAGGAGACATAAATTAAGGGGGATCCCTCATTATCCAGGTCCGAAGCTTCCTACAAATCTATTTCAAAGGCTTTGAGGAACCAGGGTCAAGGTTTCTATTTGGAGGCCACTGCAGGGGAGTCACCAGATGGGGAGGATGGTCGGACTGAGTTGACCAAGCTATTGGCAGATTTTGGAGATATTTTCCAAGTACCCAGAGAACTACCCCCAGCCCGTGCTATTGTTCATGCTATCCACCTCAAACCAGGGAGTTAAGTGCCTAATGTTCGTCTATTCAGGTATCCTCATTACCAAAAAAATGAGATTGAAGTATTAGTAGCTGAGCTTTTTAACAATGGCATGATCCGTCACAGCACCGGCCCGTACTCAAGTCCAGTTATTTTAGTGAAGAAAAAAGATAGGAGTTGGCGCGTATGTGTTGATTACAGAGCGCTCAATAAAATTACCATCCCGGATAAATTCCCAATGTCGTTAGTAGATGAACTCTTGGATGAGTTAGGGGAATCACGAATTTACTCAAAGCTGGATTTAAAAGCGGGCTATCATCAAATCAGGATGCGGGTAGAGGACATCCCCAAAACAGCGTTCAGAACGCATGAAGGCCATTACGAGTATGTGGTGATGCCATTTGGGTTGACCAACGCCCCATCCACTTTCTAGGCACTCATGAACGAGATTCTTAGGCCTTTCCTCCGGAAGTTTGCATTGGTTTTCTTTGATGATATACTAGTTTACAGCAGCAGCAATGAGCAGCATCTGGATCACTTAAGGGCTGTATTTGAAGTGTTGAGGCAGCACCATTTAGTGGCTAATCAAAAGAAATGCAGTTTTGGCAAGACTCACATTGAGTACTTGGGACATTGTGTATCTGCTGAGGGAGTTAAGGCTGACCCAGAAAAAATTAAAGCTATGATTGCTTGGCCGAAACCTATGAACGTCAAGGGGCTTAGGGGCTTTCTGGGGTTGACAGGCTATTATAGGAAATTCGTAAGGGATTATGGGAAGTTAGCCAAACCCCTTACTGAACTACTGAAAAAAGAGGGGTTCAAGTGGAACAAAGAGGCAGAAGAGAGTTTTCAGATTCTGAAGTTGATGATGAGTTCAGTCCCTGTGTTGGCCCTCCCAAACTTTAGCAAAACATTTACTGTGGTCACTGACGCGTCTGGGAAAGGAATTGGAGCAGTCCTGACTCAAGATGACAAACCCATTGCCTTCATGAGCCAAGGATTCTCCATTCGGGCTTTATCCAAGTCCGTGTACGAAAATGAGCTAATGGCAATTGTGTTTTCCGTGAAGAAATGGAGACATTATCTTATGGGCCGTCACTTTATCATCAAAACAGACCAACAGAGTTTTAAGTTCCTGACTGAGCAATCAGTGTTAAGTGAAGAGCTACAAAAATGGATAGCTAAGCTACTTGGTTTTGATTTTGAGATTCAATTCCAACCGGACAAGGACAATCAAGTTGCTGATGCATTGTCAAGACAAATGATTTTTGGGGCCTTATCCACTGTGCACTGGACAACATTGGAGGAGCTGGAATCTGAAATACAGCATGACGAAAAATTGAGGGGAATTGTACAGGATTTGCTGATTGCTCCTGATGCTCACAAAGGCTTTTCCATGATAGAGCGCAGATTATTGTACAATCAAAGGTTAGTGTTGCCTAGAAACTCTAAATTCATCCCTTCTCTTTTACAAGAGTATCACGATTCTAGTGTGGGTGGTCACTCTGGCTACTTCAGAACTTATAAACGGTTGGCTGGTATGGTGTATTGGGAGGGCATGAGGAGGGACATCAAAAATTATGTGGCTGGGTGTGCTATCTGTCAACAGTGCAAGGCACAAAATATGACCCCAGCTGGGTTGTTACAGCCACTCCCCATCCCTACTCAGGTTTGGGAGGACATCTCCTTAGATTTCATTGGTGGCCTTCCTAAGTCTATGGGGTTTGGTACTATTCTGGTAATAGGGGATCGCTTTACCAAATACTCTCACTTCATTCCTATCAAACACCCTTATACTGCAAAAGATGTTGCTGAGGTATTCATTAAAGAGGTTGTTCGGCTACATGGGTTTCCAGTCACCATTGTGTCCGACAGAGATAGAGTGTTTGTGAGCCA